ACCCAAAGTGACATTTGGGAATGTGGAAAAGCAAGGAGAAACCAAAGGAGCTGGAGACCTTTCAATCCAAAACATATCTTATGTTAAGGGTTTAAAGTTCAATCTCATAAGCACAAGCCAGCTCTGTGACAATGGCTATAATGTGACATTCTCCAAAGACATCTGCTTGATTAGGGATGTCAAGAATGATAAAATTGTGCTCTCTGGTAGAAGGAAGAATGACATGTATGTTGTTGATTGGAGCTCAGCTAAGGAAGGGATCTTCTTGGTGACAAAGGCAGATTCAAATTTGTGTTGGGACTGGCATAACAAGCTAAGCCATCTCAATTTCAAAACAATCAACAAACTATCCAGAAAAGGACTGGTGAGAGACTTCCAGAAATCAACTTCAAGAAAGATCACTTATGCGGTGCATGTCAAAAGGGGAGGCAAACAAAGGTATCATTCAAATCCAAAGGAGTAGAATCATCAACAAGTCCATTGAGCCTACTACACCTTGACTTGTTTGGACCAGTTGAACCAACAAGCTTAAGTGGCAGAAGGTACACTCTGGTTGTAGTAGATGACTACTCTAGATACACATGGACCTTGTTCTTGAAGAAGAAAAATGAAACAGCGAAAAAGCTCCCTGAATTGATGAAAATGATCCAGAATGAGAAAAGTCTCTCAATCCAGAAGATCCAGTCAGATAGAGGTATTGAATTCCTCAACTCCATCATAATTCAGTACTGTGAAGAAACTGGAATCCATCATCAAACTTCAGCAGCAAGAACACCTCAACAAAATGGTGTTGCTGAAAGAAGGAATAGAACACTTAAAGAGGTTGGAAGAACCATTATTGAAGCAGTAGGACTGTCCAAAAGATTTTGGGCAGAAGCAATTAACACAGTTTGCTACACCCAGAATAGAAGTCTTATTCATAAGACTTACAAAAAGACACCATATGAACTATGGAAAGAAAGGAGGCCAAGTGTTAGTCACTTCCATGTGTTTAGATCCAAATGCTTAATTCTAAAGAATGGAAAGGACTATCTCAAGCCATTTGATCCCAAATCTGATGAAGGGATCTTCCTGGGCTACTCAGCAACTTCCGGATCCTCAACAAAAGAACTCTGGTGGTAGAAGAATCAATTCATGTGGTTTTTGAAAACAACTCCACAGCTTATGAAAGGAATGAAGATGAGCCATCTAAATCAAAAAAGGATATTGGAAAGGCTCCAAGCTGCCTTCCCAGTAATAATATTCAAAAAGATTGAAAGATTTTGGAAGCAGCAGTTGACTCGTTTGGCAGCCCACTGCCAACAGTTGACTCAAACGGCAGCCCACTGCCAGCAATCGCCTCCAAAGACAGACCATTGCCAGCAGATGACTCACCCAGAACTAACCTTCCAGACATTCCAGATGATCCAATCCAAAAAATTCCTAATCATCCTGTTCTACCAGAGAAAAGTGAAGAAGAAAAGGAGGATGACCAACAAATCCAAACCAAAACAACTACATCTGACATTAGATGGTTGAACAAACATCCCCCTCACTGTACCAAATCATTGGAAACATCCATGAAGAGGTTCGTACCAGGTCAGCAATTCAGAGAGAAGCACTATTCTCATGCTTCATCTCACAAACTGAGCCCAAGAAAATTGAAGAAGTCCTACTTGACTCTGACTGGATACAAGCTATGCAAGAAGAACTCAACCAGTTCGAAAGAAACAATGTTTGGGAGCTTGTGTCTAGACCTTATCATCAACATGTGATAGGAACTACATGAGTGTTCAGAAACAAGATGGATGAGGAAGGCACCATAGTAAAGAACAAGGCAAGACTGGTAGCCAAAAGCTACTGCCAGGAAGAAGGAATAAATTTTGATGAAACCTTTGCTCCTGTTGCCAGATTAGAAGCAATAAGAATTTTCTTGGCTTATGATGCTCATAAGCAATTCACTGTCTATCAAATGGATGTGAAAAGTGCCTTCCTAAACGGTCTACTAGAAGAGGGGGTCTATGTGGAGCAGCCTCCTGGATTTGAAGTCAATAGCTTTGTTAGTATTATACGGTTCATGAATAATATAATAATACGTACGTTCGTGTATAATACGATATAATTATATACAATACGCCTAAATATACATTTCATACGTTCGTCAAATAGATAAAGATACAGACGTGTTTTAAACGTTTCTCGGTTTATAATACAACATATAATATGTGTCTTATACCAATTTAATGATAGAAATAAAGAGTGATTTAACGTATGCGGTCCATTTCTCAACAGTTTAAAATGTACATGATAGTTTATATATATGATCACAACAGTTTATAAAATGTACATGATAGTTTATATATATATATATATATATATATATATATATATATATATATATATATATGAATTTCAGGATTTGAATTCATAGGTACAATAAGTAATAAAAATGACATTATATTGCTCATTTGAGTAGAAGTAGAGGGATATTATTAGAGAATTGTTGATATTGCTGTGGCCGTGAGTTTGGTGAGGCACCACAATATTCTTTTCACTTTGGAGTCTTGGTATGGGTGAAGCACGAGAGTAATACAATAGTAATATCAAAACAATTGTGACTTTAAGGAATCGATTTATTAAATCTAATGACTATAAACAATTCACGAACGCATAAGGTATAATAAATTTTTAAGCAATATAAATAGTATTGAGCCGCTAGACATTGCGCTTCACTTGTACCACTTCATTAGGCTTCAGTTTAATGTTGTTGTTTTTAAATAAAATACGTATTAATATGCACAATACGTGTATTATACATTTTATCCTTAAAGCACGTCAATTTTTCATATTTTTCTGAAAAATTCATAAACGGGGGTATTATACGTGAATTATACGTTTGAGTGTATCATACGTGAATTATACGCGAATAAACTAACAAAGGTCAATAGAGAGAAAGATCAAGTGTACAAACTGAAGAAAGCTCTTTATGGACTCAAACAAGCCCCAAGAGCATGGTATGACACTCTCTCTGAATATTTAGTGAATAATGGGTTCACTAAAGGCAAAGTAGACAAGACACTATTCAAAATTGAAGAAGGTCCTCACACACTGCTTGTTCAAATCTATGTAGATGACATAATCTTTGGAAGCTCGAATCAAGCACTATGTGAAAAATTCTCAACTCTCATGCAAAGCAAATTTGAAATGAGCATGATGGGAGAGTTGAACTATTTTCTGGGACTACAAATGAAACAGACTCCACAAGGTATCTTTTTATCAACCAAGCTAAGTATACAAGAGATCTCATGAAGAAATTCAAAATTGAAAACAAGTCTACTGTGAAAATTCTCATGAATACTTCACAAGGTTTGAGTCAAGATGAAGATGAGAAAGATGTCGATCCTACACTTTATAGAGGTTTGATTGGTTCCTTGTTATAAGTCCAAACTTCACCCAAGCTAGAAAGTTGTCACACACTGATTGTATAGAAGATAAAGACTTCTGTTGTGCGTCTGTAAATCTCCCAAAAGATTATAGATCAACTCATCTAGAAGGGAAAAGTTTTGAAAGTTGAAAAGGCTTTAAAAGTCTATTACCCCCCCTCTCTAGACTTTTACCTCTATCCGGGACCATCATCAACATAATGAGTTTGATACTCATTAAAAGTTCATCAATGTTCATTCACCATAAAACGTGATTTTCATCTCAATAGCGGAGGTTTGATGCTCAATTAAAATGTTGTGATGTTCAACTAACAAACCTTATGATTTTCATATCAATGCGCACTTTGTATGTTATGTATGCTTATTTAATTTGGTACTGATGTTATGCTCATTTTTAAAATGTCATATCAATGCATATTTAAAAAATAACATATTATATTAGACTCGCATATTGAAATTAATAAGAGTGGATTATAGATATAATTTAATAATTTTTTATAAAAGAAAAAGTAAGAAAAAGAAAATGATATTAGAAGATATGAAGCAAAGATCGTGATACTCATTGGTAGCCTCCTAGTACTCAATAAAATAGGTCAAATGCTCACTAAAAGTACAATTTTACTCATTTAGTGGAAGCCGTGATTTTTCGCTTAAATTATAAAAATGCCACCGATTTTTTTTTTTGACATGTACGTATTAGTTATTGAGCAGTCTTCCCTAATTGGGACGGGTATACATACACCCGGATGTATGATATAGGGACTCTAAAAAAGAAGATAAAAAGTAAATATAATTGAATATTTTTAAAGCAAAAACTTATCAAAAGGGGAGTGTAATAAACCTTAAAGTATATCCGATAATCCGAAAAAAGAAAGGCTAACAAACTTTAATATATCGAGGAAGTAACAACTTTTAAACTTGTTTAGTTAGTAATCAACTTAATGTGAAGCATAAAAATCAGAATCAAATAGAATCATACTCGCCAAAAGCTATGACCACTTGAAATTGAACAACTACTTCCGTCTCAATTTATGATGTTTGACCGACGAAAAGTAAACGGATTCGTGTCCGCATTCAAATTAGTTATAGAAAAAAATACATATTCATAAATAACATTAAAAGTTTTACAAAGTCGCAAAAATCAGAATCAAATTTGATAAAAATTTGATATACTCCCTCCGTCCTTTAAAACTTTTGACATCTTTCCTTTTTGGGACGTCCCAAAAAACTTTGTCACTTTCTCTTTTAATAAATTATTTTGTGGTTTCTGTTATTTCTCTCTCCTCTGCACAAACCTCAATCACACAGTTTTTACTTTATTATTCCCCGTACCGGTCAACTTTGGCAAAGTTTTAAGGGGCAGAGGTGACCAAGTGATTAGTATAAAGTAAAATATTAAGAGTGATTTGTGTCGACTAAGTGAATAACAATTTAGGATGTTTTTACTTGAACTTTTTTCAGTCCCAGACCAAACTTAAACAAATCAGACCAGATCAGACATTTGTCAGACCAGACCAAACCAAACTTAACACATCAGACCAGATCAGACTTAAACAGATCAAACCATACCAACAAATTATTCTAAAAACATCCCATCTAAGTAACCACCTTCCGGTTTCGGAGTCAAAGAGAAACAAGCAGCTTTGAAAACATTCTCAGCAAGACTGAAAAATGGAGGAAATCTCGCAATCATCCGCGCCGCCACTTCATTCCCTCAAACTGTCCCACAAGATTACCGAAGTCGCCGCCGGAGAAGCTCACACTCTCGCTCTCACCGGTTTCTATACATCCAATTTATTATTTCAATTGTAACTTAATCATTATCGTTAGTGGATAAGATTTTTCATTTTCCTTTTTGTTGAAAAAAAGTATTCTCTTGCAGCGGATGGAAGCGTTTATTCTTGGGGAAGAGGAATGTTTGGCCGGCTCGGCACTGGATCGGAGCTCGACCAGATGTTTCCTGTCAGAGTTGAGTTTGGCTCTACGGCTGTTAAGATTGTGGCTATTGCGGCTGGAGCTTATCACAGTCTCGCGCTTGCAGGCATGGCTACTATTAGCTATTTAATTTCATTGTTTGATAGCTATATTCTATGATTAAATGCTTTGGTCTTAGGGGGTGTTTGGATTTGATTCTAAAGGAGCAGAAGTTGAAGTGTTTGGGTGACCAGCTTCTGAAAACTGATGCTCTAATTTACTCCTAGAATCAGTTTTAGAAGCTGGGGGTGACCAGCTTCTGAAAACTGATTCTGATTCTGCTTCTGCTTTAAAAAAGAAGCAGAATAAGAATTAGTTCCAAACACCCCTACTAAGGGAAAAATCTGTCTGCACAATAGGTATTTGAATTTGAATGAATATGGGGCCTGTCGATATGCTTTATGTTGATCGTGCTAGAAATAGCATTTAAACAGACCGAATTTAATAAAACAGAGTACAAAATAACGAGCATGAAACAATTCAACACGCTAACCAGGGAATGTAAAAATAGTAAACAACCATAAAACATACTCCGTACCATGCATCAGTACAATAATGGAGAAATTAAGTTAAATGCAGATGAAAACATTATTGAAGATTGCTCGACAAATGGGGTAGTGCTTACGAAAGATTGCCTGCACCACTGTTTGCTAGACATGAACAAACAGAATGAGACTAGCAGCAATTAACTGGAACAAGTTTTTCTTGAGGATGCCTTAGTTATGGACTTGACTGTACTGCGGAATGTATTTGCAGAGTATATTATATATTATTGCTTGTGCAATCACAAGCTAAAAATAATGACGGAGTAGTATATTTAGGAAAGTGGTAGTCTGGTAGAGGTGGTTAGCTTATCCAACTTGTTAGCCATGAAATTAGGATCAGGCAAGAAACATATACCTCATCCTATTTCACTATTTGATCTTATAAACATATGTATTCTGATCATTAAATGACCTTCACCCAATCATGAAAGTTGTTCTTTGATGTACATTAAACCTCTTAAAAACTATACTATATAGTTTTATACATTTATATCATGTAAATCATAAATGAGACATATCAAAATTTATAATTTCATCATACTTCTAACTGAAAACAGATCATATATTCATATTTACACAAGTACGGGTCAAGGTGATTCTGTTTTAACAAATAATTGTTGCTCTTCATGCTGATATAGGTCCTGTTAATCCTTTTGGAATACATTATTAATGAACAAATCATGATTTGTTTACTCACTGCTATGTTATTTAGCTGCCCCCAACACCAATAAACTCTAATAGCTGTTTTAAACTCATGTGCTTTCTTTTTGCCTTTTTTGTTGCAGATGATGGGTCTATTTGGGGATGGGGTTATAATTTATGTATCCTTCATTTTTTTTTTCATTTTCCAAATAGCCCCGCTGCATCTACTTCATAGCTAAAGGATTATTCTTCATTACTATTTTAAAATCCCTGACTGATACATGGATGACCAACTTGGTGCAAATGGAGAAAATTTGCTAGCTCCTTGTTTACTAGAAGGATTCATCGGACTGGGTTCCCTCAATGCCTCAAGAGAGGAACCAGAAAAGAAGAAATTAATGGTAAGCTTTTTTCATAATGATTGACCCTCATAGGAACTATGAACAGATGAATAGCCGGTTAGTGATTACCCTTGCATAGGGTCCGTTTGGAACTTGGAAAGTGCTGTGGAAAGAAAACATGAAGGAAAATGGGAAAAAAAAGTATGAAGAGAAAAAACCGATTTAAACTATTTAGGATGTTTTTAATTGGATTGAAATATTATGTCTGATCTGTTTAAGTCTTGTTTGGTCTGGTCTGAACTAGTTTGGTTGATTTTTGTTCTATGTATATTTTACAACTGTCAAAGTCTGGTCTTCTAATTTTATCTGGTTTGGGACTGAAACCAGTTCAATTAAAAACATCCTTATAAAGCAGTAGTTGTTTTTCTTAACTCATTTTTATTTAAATATATCTATTATAAAGAAATTTAAGTATATGTAAAATTTGATTTTCCATTGTATTTTGCAATGTATTACCAGACATTTAAAATATCCTCTATTTTGCTCCATTTCCTACCTTTTCCCCAGTTCTATACATAGCCTTACTTGATTGGTCCTTCATAAAAACCCTTGTATTCATTTCCTGCTCAGATTTCTTCTGTTAAAGCCGGAGCAATGATGTCTCTAGCAATTGACAGTCTAGGAGGTCTCTGGATATGGGGCAACTGCCCTCAGCCACAACAAGAAAAGCCAGTTGATGTTAAATTTTCTATCGCATGCACTCCTAATCCAACACCTGTATGGAGCTTTCATCGGCACACTGTTGTTAAGGTGACATGTGGAAATGAGCATATTGTGGCATTGGTTACCACAGGGGAAACGTACGAAGGGGATAATGATCTTGTTTGCTATTCTTGGGGCGGAAACAGTCATGGTCAATTAGGTTTGGGGGATAAAGAAAGCCGGATCTTTCCGGAAATTGTCAAACCCTTTGATTCCCAATCCCCTTGGATTGTTTATGAGGTGGCGTGTGGGGCTTTCCACACAGCTTTACTATCAAAGAAAACCCAAAATGGTGTATTGGAAAGTGTTTGCTGGACATTTGGCCTAGGTGAAAATGGGCAATTAGGTCATGGCACTAACCAAAGCCATTTATCCCCCGAACCCGTGAGAGAATTGCCAAGAAGTGCAAATCTCATTTCGATTGACTGCGGCTTGTTCCACACCAGTCTTATCTCATCAGCCGGAGATGTTTGGTCATGGGGAATGGAAAAAGGCATGGGTCTATGCCCCAATACAAGGTTCACCGGAGATGAAACTGGCGATGCAATGTTGCCCGTGTTGATCCATTGTGAAAATGGGCATAATAAGTTTGAAGAACCTGTCCAAGTTGTATGTGGTGCAGCCCATACGGTTCTCCTTTCAGATTCTGGGTACAAGATCTGGTCGTGGGGACGGGGACGGAGCGGGGTACTTGGAACTGGTCAAACAACTGATACTTTCATTCCAACTCCTGCAATGTGGCCCCCGCCTCTAGATGAAGATAAGAATCAAAAAATTGAAAAAGAAATGAAACCTACCAAGGACGTCATTGAAATGGAGAAAAAGCTACGTGCAGCCGAAATGGAGATAGGTCAGCTTCGAACGAAACTATCTGTGATGGGAAAGTACACTGGCATCCTTCACAGCTCTATATTTGGGAAACCGTTTGATGACAAACAAGATATCCCTGCCTCAGTGAAAAGTGGGGGTATGTTCGAAATAGCAAAGGAGTGGGAAAACATGTTGGAGTGCTTGGATCGTGGAAAACTAGTGAAGCTCGAGATGTTTTACAGCAACATGCTTGCCGGTGTTAAGGATAACATATTGAAGAAACGGATCAAGGAGATCGTTGTCGATTGCCTTGGCTCTTCCCGTTAATGCAATCAGGGAGTCCATAGGTCTCTCCAAGAACATACTTTGTATAGTCAAATGTTGTTTGACCAATGTGAATTATCCAGTTTGTTGTGATTTGTTTTCATCATTTATCGCAATTGCACGCCAGTGTAACTGATCCCATAGATTTGGGATTAAAATGGCTCGTTTTGGCCTAACGTCCAAACAGTGTCTGGCCGTCTGGGAGGTGTTTTGTGCAGAACAGGTGGTGCCATTTTGAAGAAAGAAAGAAAACCGTATAACACCCCAAGAAAAAACAATCTGACAGTTGGCACTAATGTTCTCAGAGAGTTTCTCAAAATGTGGTGGTGTGTAGTTGGAAATTAAAATAATGTGTGTAGAAGAAGATTAAATGGTTATTCATGCCAGAAACTTGACATTGCAACTTTAAAAAAACTAGGCAACGTATACTAAGTTGAAGTGGTCAATGTTTTAATATTTTCTAGCATTCAACTCTCAATTTGACAATTTGTCCTCCACATCATCTTTGTATTAACAACATCCATCACTTGCATATACTCGTATATCAATGGTTCGACCCTCGCTGTTTCAAAATTTCAATTCTACTCACATACTTTAAGTAAAATAATTTCAATAATTTTTTGGTAATAGTTGTAAGTTGATTACCATATTTTGTTTTTCGACTCCTGCCATCGCAAAATGATAAAAAAATCACATTTTAGTTTTAATTTACGTTTATTTTGTAAATCAGTATTCAGATAAAGTCTCTTGCATAGAAAAGTTGCCCTCATACACCCGATTCGGCAGGGATGGATTTAAGGGGGGGCGCGGGGGGGCGATCGCCCCCCTTGGACTTTCAAATTTTTCTACAATATATTTAATATTTTCATAAATTTTTTATACTTTAATTAGATATATATGTGTTCGCCCCCCTTAACTTTTAGTTTTCAAAATTAATATATAGTCTTACATTATATAATACTTGATGAGAAACTTCTCAGAGAGTTTCTAAAAATGTGGTGGTGTGTTAGTGTGTAGTTAGAAATTAAAATAATGTGTGTAGAAGAAGATTAGATGGTTATTCATGCCAGAAACTTGACATTGCAACTTTAAAAAAACTAGGCAACGTATACTAAGTTGAAGTGGTCAATGTTTTAATATTTTCTAGCATTCAACTCTCAATTTGACAATTTGTCCTCCACATCATCTTTGTATTAACAACATCCATCACTTGCATATACTCGTATATCAATGGTTCGACCCTCGCTGTTTCAAAATTTCAATTCTACTCACATACTTTAAGTACTATAATTTCAATAATTTTTTGGTAATAGTTGTAAGTTGATTACCATATTTTGTTTTTCGACTCCTGCCATCGCAAAATGATAAAAAAATCACATTTTGGTTTTAATTTACGTTTATTTTGTAAATCAGTATTCAGATAAAGTCTCTTGCATAGAAAAGTTGCCCTCATACACCCGATTCGGTGTTGGACGAAGACCGATTGGCCAGCTCCCGATCATGGGTAAATAATCAATCGATTATTATCTGATTCCTATGAATAGTAGAAGACGAAACAAAAAGTCTGAAAGTATTTGGAGAGAAGAAGGGAAATTAATAGAGAAATGATATGCTCGATAAGTAATAACTAGGGATGGACCTGGGCCGGTCCGGTTCCAGTTCCGGGCCAGGGCCGGTCCGGTTCCAGTTCCGGGCCAGGGCCGGGCGGGCTTCTTTTTCCAGATTGTTGGGCCCGGAACCGGCCCGGATTGATACCGGGTCCGGGTCAATGTAATTTTTTTTTGCTTTCTAATTAGCCCCCCCCCCCCACTCATACCCCTCAAACCTCCCCAAAACACCCAACCCTACCCAAGGAAAAGAAAAAAATTGAAAAAACAAAAAAAAAAAATGAACCGGGCCCGAACCTAACCGCCCGGGCCGGTTCAACAAAAGTAGGGCCCGAGCCTAGCCTGCCAAGCCCGCCCACACGGGTTAAAAGCCCGGAACCGGCCATCCAGTCCTGGTCCAGTCCGGGCCCGCACAGTAGCGGGCCGGTCCGGTTCACGGGCCGGTTTGGCCCGGTTCGGTCCATCCCTAGTAGTAATGAGTTCATTTCCCCCCGTTTTTTCACAAGAATCCATGATTTATAATTCGATAAGAATGAATGAAAGTCTGAATACACTTAAACTTTTAAAGACTTAAAAATCCATATTCAATACATCTAATCTTTTAGAAAAATTCCACTTTTGGTCCCGTGACTATTATACCACTTCCACATTTAGTCTCTTACTTTCAGATTGTCCACATTTAGTCCGTGACCATTATCCCCTCACCACCTTTCGTCCTTTCGGCCAAAATTCTGGCAAATTTAATGCAAATTTTAGGTATGAAAACCCAAATTTAATGCAAAGACCGATATGAAAAACCGAACCTCATGTAAAATTTATTGCAAAGACTGATTCTGAGGCTGATAAGTGGACTATATTTGCCGGAATTTTGGCCAGAAGGACGAGGAGTGGTGAGGGGATAATGGTCACGGACTAAATGTGGACAATCTGAAAGTAAGGGACTAAATGTGGAAGTGGTATAATCGTCATGGGACCAAAAGTGGAATTTTTTCAAACTTTTAAATATATGGACTCCTAAAAGTTTGACACTTATTTCATATACTCCGTACAATACACCATTAAACGATTTAAATAATACTCTGTAGTAGTAGTAGTCATCCCGATTCAAAATACAAGAGGTTCACGTATCCCGTCCCGATTAAGTCAGGATCCCGACATTAAAATCCCGATTAAGTCGGGTTCCCGATCGGGAATCCCGCTTAATCTCGACAATGATGTATCAAACATGAAATTATGTAATCTCTTTAGTTAAACACTAACTTTTATATTTAGTGGTTTCAATATTATTCTTTGATCATTAGTATACCATATTATCATCATCCACTTATAAAATTTATCATCTCAAATTCACAGTAGTACATACTTTTAGAATAATTTTTATTTATAAATTCAATTAATTAATAGTATAATCATTTTTGAATAAGCTATCAAGGCTTAGTGAAACTTACTTCAAAAATTATATAAAAATTCATTAAAAGAAGGATGTGTAACGTATACGGATTATTATTTTAAAATTCAAAACTAAGTAGACTCATTGAGAAACTTTGTGACCCATGAACATAATGTATATATACATATCATCATTATTTATTAAAGAAAGAAATTTTAGTCTCAATCATGATTTTTTAAAGAGTTCATCAAAACCGCAAAAATTGTACTATTGTTGTGATTTAGATTGTCGGGATCAAGATCAATCTCTATTTAGTTAGGAAATGATTTTTTAAATGTATCAACATATATTAAAAATAAATACTCTATTCTTTTCGTTATATCCCTACCAATTCCCAGCCCCAAACTTAGCTTATTTGATTGATCCTTTATAATTAAAAAGCCCCTTATATTCATTTCCTGCTCAGATGGCTTCTGTTAAAGCTGGAGGCTGGAGCAATGATGTCTCTAGCAAGTAGCAAGTCGCAATTGACGGTCTAGGAGGTCTTGGATATGGGTCAACTGCCCTCAGCCACAACAAAATAAGCCCATTGATGCTGAATTTTCTTTCAAATGCACTCCTAATCCTACACCTGGAGCTTTCATGGACACAAGCCAATTCCCATCCCAAAATTTAAAATTGGGAGAATTATCAAATAAGCCCTCTAACTTTCATAAAAAGTGCAAATAAGCCCTTTTATAGGAGGATCTGTCTGGTCGTCGCCATTTAGGGCGGTTTAAGGTGCAATTTTTTGATGCAATTTTTTGAGTATCTTCTTCATTAAGTCTAGTTTATTCTTACTAAATTTCAGCTAAAAATTCAATCGGGAAGGCAGTCAAATGAATTTTTGAAGATAACTGCGCAGTTAGATAGCGCAATATATTTCAGAAAATCATTCATCTGCCTTCTAGATTGAATTTTTATCTGCATTTTGGTATGGGTAAACTAGACTTAATGAAGAAGATAATAAAAAAAAGTCATAAAACAATTCCACCGGAAACCGCCGCAAATGGCGACAGCCGGACAAAGTCTCCTGTAAAAGGGCTTATTTGCACTTTTTATGAAAGTTTGAGGGCTTATTTGATAGTTCTCCCTTTAAAATTATATGTATTTGAAACGTAAACATTATTTGAAAAAAGCTTTATACCACCCCTCTCAACTTTCGCTCATGACTACACCCCGTCCATATAGGAAACATTTGAAGGGAATAATGATATACTTATGTTCCAACTTCTCTTCTGCAACATGCCCCCCACCCTCACACACAAAGGCTAGATAAGAACAAAATGGCTAAGAACTAGTGAAACCTACTAGGGACTTTGCTGAAATGGAGGAAAAGCTATATGCAATCACAATGGATATTAATCAGCTGAAATGAAGGAAAAGCTATATGCAGCCAAAATGCTTGCCGGTTTTAGGATAACATATTGAAGAAACGGATCAAGGAGATTGTTGTGGACGGCCTTGGCCTTCCCCACCAATGCAATCAGAATCCATAGGTTTCTCCAAGCAACATGGTTTTTGTGTTGTCAAATGTTGTTTGGCCAATGTGAGTTATGGAGTTATGTTGCAGTGGATGGGGGGCTCTAGAGAGTTTCTATTGGCTTACCGCTTAGGCGCTTATACAGCCGATCCCATTCATTTTGGATTACAATAGTGTTTGTGGCCTAACATTTAAGGATGTTTTTACTAAGACTAGAATTTGCTGGTCTGGTCTGGTAAATATCTGATCATTATATATTTTATAACTGTCCAAATCTAGTCTGGGACTGAAAATAGTCCAAGTAAAAACATCATAACTTGAATGTTGAAACTTGACTTTGCAACTTTAAAAACAGTAGGCAATGTAAACCAAATTGAAACGTAGTTAATGTTCCAATCTTATTATAGCATCCACATTGTTCTCACATCAACTCTCAATCAACACTATCTCCTCCACATAATATTTATATTAACATTCCATCACTTGCATCTATATCCATTTAGCATCCAACCCTCTCAGTATTTCAACTTTATTCATATTTTTTACATTATAATAATTTCACTATACACTATGCCTAATAATTATTCATTAAAATATAAAGAAATTCCAAACAAAACACACATGAAGGTGATATGATATACATTTGCTATAAAAGATTAAAAGATGCAAATTAATGTAATACAAGCTACAACATATCATTCCAATTATAAGGAAATGAAAGTTGGAATTTAAACAAATGAAAATTTAGTGTGAAGTATAAAATATACACTACATTAAAATTAAATAAACACATGTAGATAAAAATTGAGATAGTGAAATCCGCTAGAATGGATATCCAGGCGGGTAAAAAACTGAACTAGGTACCCATTTTTTTAATCCAGACCAGCATAGATTCTTATTACTCCAAAATAGGACCTGATGGTTTCTGGTTTAGTTCATCTCTAATTTGCTCCTTTTTTTGAAAAAAAAGAAAATCTAAAAGCTTAACCAGAACTAATTTACCTATTTCTTAGCCTACCTTCACTAACTCTGTTTTTGGGTAAACCATTGAATGGCATTCAACATTAACCACAAACAAATGACAACAATTTGAACAGCTTAGCTTACGTGGAGTGTTGAAAGTACCCCCTCATGCTTTTTTATAGAAGTTGTGGAATTAACTTTACAAGAGATAGACATGTCCCTTGGTTTAAAGCACAACTTTACCTTGATTTAATTTTGCATATATTACTTGCCATTTAAATATGCAATGCTTAAACAATGACATATCAATGAAATTAACCAAGACAAACCGCCAAATCATTGAAGGCTCATGAGAAGGGCCAGGGATATATATTTATATCGTAAAGTATGAATCAATCTTTTATCAATAGACAAACCAAATCCTTACATATACATTGATCTTTCATGAAAAAAGGAAAAAAAGAATAATAACAAATGAATATAGGGCTGAAAGAAAAGCTTACACATGAACGCTGTTGCAGCCAACAACAGGTAGGTCATAATATAGGCAAAACTGATATAACCTATAAGCATATCAAGCATGGGGAACTAGACTTCACCTAATACGTTTTTGCAGAAACATTAATTAAGGCACATCATGGACCACATTTTTTCGAGATTATTAATGGTCTGTTTGGAGGGGAGGATTTTGGAGGGTTTAGTCTGTCTCGTCTTGATATATAGAATGATTCTAAAAACAAACAAAAGTCGATTGTAGTGTTATAAACTAAGCCTTCTAAAGTCGTTCTCTCTCCAAACACCCCCCAAAGAACTTGTGTCCAAACACAGCCTAAGCCGGAATGAATAACTATACAGGAGAGCACTGCCACTTAACTAAGCAACAGGAGCACCGCGGTTAATACTTGACCCACGATCTGTGCTTTGGAGACTATCAGAATATCACATACCTTTGCTATACCGACTCATCAGAGCTTTTTGGGCAAATTGTAAGTCTTCTTCAGGAATTTTGTAGCAGTTTCATCATTCCTGTGACATATGACACGCAAAAGTGTGTTTGGTTCAGTGGGCTTCCACTGTCCTGATGTTGGGGGCAACGGAAGCCTCGACTTAGCAGAGGACCCATATGCCTCTAGAGTAAGTCTACGAAAACTCTCTACAAGGCTTTCTGTATCTGTCTTGTACAGTGAAAGAACATCCCTTACCGTCGTTGAGTACTTGTTTATAACATCAATCGGCAATCCATCTCCGTTTGCCCAAAATAGATCCTTGAGAGAATCAAAATCTTCCTCTAGTATTTTTGAGTCATGTCTAGTGAATGCACGGGAAGGTCCTCCAGCAAGCAAGACAAACAAAAAAGCATCAAAGGAAGCTTTCATTATGTCAGCAACAATCCAGTTACATACTCTTCCATTAACAGTGTTTGATATGATTGTAAGGATTCGTTCAACCTCTTGGAGGAAAGGTTCAATACGTGAGGAAGAGGGATCTCCTACATATAAACCATCCCATAAAACATGACCTAGATCATTAAAGACAACCTTGTACGCCAATGCCTCGCTGATTTGTTGTATCGTCTCGATACAAGCGGCAGGTGTTATTTCGAACTTTTTGCCCGAACTGTTTGAGATGTCATCCACATGAGCAGATTCTGAATTTCTTAAGAGTGTGATGATCCTCTTTTCAAGAACTTCCAACTCCGTCCGGATTTTCTGTAAAGTGTTTATGCGTACTAATAACTGAGGCATCCCAAATGAACTACTGTCTCCGTTCATTGTTGCAACCTGTGAATTCCTCCTCTGTGTGATTATCGGCTTGTCTCTCTTCTTCCACACGCTTAACTTTGTCCCTGTGGTACACCTTGTTAATGCCGGCATGGTTGGGATGTATGTGCTTCTTGATCCTATATTTGGGCAATCACTAATAATAATCAGTTTGGAGGCCCAGAACTTTATTGTAGTTGAAGGGAGAAAAAGAAAGTAGAAATTTAACTTCTTTGGTTGCAAAGTACAGGGAAGGGGGTGTAGGGGGGGTGGCGGGGGCCTCCCCTTTTGGTTTCTTCACCCATTCATGTGAAAAACAGCCTCTCAATGGCTTTTTCTCTATTATTTTCATTTATATCCTTACTTTTATTGGTCCCCTTATTTATACAATTGAACTTCAAGCCTCCCTGATTAGTTTACCTAATTCCCTTTGCACAGAGTTACAGAAATTAAATTGTATGGTTGGTATTTAGAACACATTGGGTAAGGATTACTACCTGAAATAACTGAATCTGATGAACTTTGTGAAAGTAAAAGTGTTAGGTAGCACCGATATCAGCCAAATTAGCAAGTTAAAACATACTTATTCTGTTTGTTTTGTCTATTGATAAGAAAATTAGCCAAACTATTCTTTCCTTTAAAAAGAAATAGAAAGGTTCTTCAGAGACAGGCCAAAAAGCAGAGAGGATAAAATTAAAGGGACATAGAGTGTATTGTCTTTTTAAATAAGAATCTGAATCTTTTTCTCTTCTGTTATGCTCATATTTCTCTCCTACCAAACAATAAATAAAATCTACTCTATTTCTCACGTTCTTCTTTCTTCCTACTTTCTTACCCTTCTATTTGTTTATTGTCTATTTCTCTTCATAAATGAACAGAGGCTAGGAGTCACACAGTTCATCATTGTTTATTCATATATCAAAGGGAAAGAATAATTACCGCATCCAGATTTTGTCTTGGTAACATAGTACTCAAGACACCTATCAATTCCAGCCATCAAGTCAGGGAGAAGTGATGGATGCATAGGTATTGGCAGTTGAAAGAATGCATCCAATGTTTCGTCCATAATGCGCAGGAGTTCGATAACAGAAAGAGCATATCCTTCTTCATTAGCTGGAGGGCTCCAACCCTATAAATGCAAAGCCAGATCAGATCACAGAACAGTGTAACAGATTATACAGTATGTATATAAACAACTGCCAACATTTTTGCCCTGCAAAGCAAAGAAACGAGAGGGGCGGGTGGGGGGGAATAACATGGGCAAAATACATCATTCACTTAGGATTAAGTTTAAAATGCTTATGTGTCATTCAGACTGCAAAGAGACTTGGTCATTTTATGTTGTAATTCATGATACAATCCGAAATATTTCTTATGTACTGCTAATTAGAAGCCAGTCAAGCCACTAGTCTTATATCTCAAGTGAGGATCTGTCCCTTTAATCATCTCACCCTCTTCTACAATTATCAAGATTGTGGAAAATAAGTAAATAAAAATTCTATAAACTATTCTTGAATTAAATAAGTTGTACTGATATTTAATTACTTCATTCACTCACATTTCTTCATGTATAAGATCAAATATTAGTAGTGAAACCAAAAACTTGACTGCCTTAAGACTCTTGGACTACTTGAGACTCTTCACTTACCCAAGAACATAAAAATGTGAAATATATATACTCTACATATACTTCGTAGTTAATAAGTATAGATTGAATAAACGACTGGTATAGTTGTATACTCTACATTTAGTTTGTAGATAACAAGTAGAGACTGAATAAATGACTTGTATAGTTGCATAATAAACTACTAGTAGCGGGATTTGGTTAGAGTAGAAGTGGCACAGAACAAATTCACATCCGAACTCATTGAGAGTGTAACCTATTTTAAATTTAACGCTTCTATCTTATGTGGCACTTGTTCTTATCAGTTTTTAATAAATACCCCATCTAGTCCCTTGAGTTCACAGTTTTACTCAATTTAGTCATCAAATTCTTTTTTGGACTCAATATGATCCTCTACTATCCAAGGTTGTCAAAGGCGTAAGGCGCACCTGAAGCGCTAGGAGTCTTCCGGCGCTTGAGGCGCAAAGCGCAAAAAAGCGCTCGCTTGACTCGGGTGAAGCGCATTACTTATATAAAGTCACATATACTATTCTATAAATACCAAATATGATGTATGTAACATCATATTGAACCAAATGCATCAAAAAAGCTAGGATTCACCAAATAATAAAGTTTGGTATATTGAATTAGCACATTATTATTATTATTATTATTATTATTATGATTATGATTATGATTATGATTATGATTATGATTATTATTATTATTATTATTATTATTAGTATTAGTATTATTAAGATATGGGCTTTTTTTTCAAAGTTTTAAACTAAAAAGGGGCTGTCAGCCTTTTCCGTTTCAGGCGACGCAGGCGCGCACCTATAGCGCTTCCGTGCTTCATGCGCTTCTAGGGGTCTACCTCGCTGCGCTTTGTGCGCTTAAACGCAGAAGCGAGCGCTTTTGACAACACTGCTACTATCCAATTTGGACCCAATTTAGTCCCAATCAGACATCTTTGGGCTCCTACCAAGAAGACCATTCTATGTATTCTAGTAACGAAAAGTCAAGAATTAAATTATGTAATACTCCCCCATCCCAAAATAAACTTTTCACTTTCCTATTTGGCCAATCCCAAAACGAACATCTCATTTCCAAAAAAAGGTCATTTCCCTTCAAAACCTTTCCCCTTACCCACCAATGTTATTTTAGTATTGGGGTCCTAAAGGTCTAAAACTAGTGCCAAATGTAAATGGGAATGTTTATCTTTCAAATTGCAATAGAGGGAGAGTAGTGTATAGTCAAATGACCCAAATGATTGAATTGGTATTAACTCTACAATTAGGATGAGTATTTACCTCTTGTTGGAGACATCTATCAACCCATTCCTTGAGTCTGTCTGTTCTCAACTTAATCCAATCCCTCACCATGTTGGCTATTGTACCTTCAGCTTCAAAAGGTGGCATCTCACGTATGATGGCTTTCCCACCATCATCACTGTCCACCGAATCTTCAACAGCAATTTGAACAAGATCTTTTTCCAACTTATCTGCAGCTCTCAAAACTTGTACAGCATCTGCGGTCAACTCTGTTATGCCCGAAACAAATTGTTTCAACTCATTCCCGTAGCATACGTGAAGGGTAGCAACAGCCAAACCTGCAGCAAATGGATGCCATCTCTTCAGGATGGGACTAAAAACCTCCTTCTCTTTGGTAGCCAGCTCACCGACATCCTTAGCAAGAATAACAAGGACAGGTAGAGGATTTAACTGGTTTCTTGATGCTCTTCTGTTGGAATCTGCCTTCTCCATCCTCTATAAATTGATGAGATGATTAATAAAGTGACGAAGAATGTTCTAGCATTATGGAAAACAGCACAATGAGAAGACTAACGAGGGATGTAAAAACAGTGATAAGCTTTTAGTGGACATGATATTTCACAGTTGTGTTCACAAATAATATTTAAAAGCATTAAATCAGTTACACTGTGATCTGTGCTCAGGTATGCATGCACTGCTCTGTACAATGAGAAAGAAAAAAGTTCAAGTAGACACAATTAGCTTGCCTGAGCAAAAGCAGTGCGAAGAGACGATCTAATATAAGTGTCAATTCGGCTCCGAGCTACATCAACTTCACCCTTTCGTCTCCGTCGATACTCATTAGATATATCCTCAACTAAAATTTTAGCTGCTGATACGCCAATAGAAACAATGACTTGCATTGATTCAATATTTCCGGCATCAAATGTTTCATGATATGCAAGGAGTCTTTTCTCAGCCCAACCCAAAATTGCAGTTAGTGTAGAGCTCAAGATCTTGGAATACTCAGGGTCCTTAGTTTGCTTCGCATCTTTTGCAACTTCAGCTAACTGCCCATTGGCAGCGTCTAGTAGTTCATTTACGCCTTGTCCAGTGGCTACAAAGCGGTTGAATAAGACCCATGTAAAGCAAACATTATGAAGTGTTTGGTTTAGCCCAAGGATCCCCCATGTCTTTTTTATAAGTTCCATAAGTTCATCAACTTCCTCTATGATAGATGTTTCATCACTGACGTCAAATATGGCTTCTAGGAGAATCTCATAGAGCCGAAGATTTAATGGAAAACCATCTGCCCAATGGCTTGAATCCAAGGTTGATCCACCAGATGATCTGGTAGCAAGAGCCATCACAGACTTTCGAAGGACTTGCATAGACTCATTGTTTCTCCCTGTCTCCATTGGCCTCCCTAATGCGGCTTGAATAATCTGTCTTAGCGTGGAAGAAGCATTTGACTTATCAAGTGGCACTAAGGGATGTAAAAGAAGTCCAGCCTCTAGAATCTTTAAGTTTCTCCTTTGCCATGTTTCATATTCTGCTTGATCAGTGAAATCTGAAGACTTGAACTGTTGCAACAACTCGAGTGGGAGAACTGTTGACTCAATTCTTCTTCCAACCTATGCAAGGTAACATATAATGTTATAACCTAAAAACGCTCAGCAGGCATAGCATTCACTACAACTTCTGTCATTTAAGTAGAGAATGAATTTTGGAATTCTTCTCATTGAAGTAGTTCACAGTAAAAAACCAAAGCATCTTAAAAGAAGCCACAAACCCAAGTGAAATGTCTTATCCTATCGCTCATACACACACACACTCACTGTAGTAAAAATCCCACCTACGCCCGATTAGTTCCCCACCTGGGCATTGAGAGCTCCTTGGCGCCATACGCCCAATATACCTCCTAGTGGATGGCTAGCGACATTTCAAACATTGATAGTACATGAAATTATTCTCGTTCCACACATATGCAGACTCATATAAGCATAAAGTAATTCATTTAAAAGTATACATAACCTGATCAGGCTCGAAACTATAAAGGTACAGTAAATTGCATAATGGAGAGGATTTTGAAATTAAATTTTGGAAGTAGTATGCAAGCAAAAGTTCTGATTTTTTTACACTTGTGAGGGGCATAAAAAGCACTTGTTGAACTCAAAACCCCAAAATCGTGTAAACAATTCAATGCTTAGTTAAAAAAATGGAGCTTCACGTTAAGAGGCTTCAGTGGATCAAAATTGTACTCCTAGTACAGTAGTACCAATTGACTGGTACCAAAGCCAATACTAAAACCACCCGCTTCTGAGATCAAAATTTTATGCTGGAAATAACACGAGGTTCAAACATCAATGTAGGTAAGTGAAGCGACATATACGGAGTATGATGCTAGAGAGAGAGAGAGCGATGCGGAGAGGGCCAAAGTTGAAAAAATCAGAAAATTCAGTGCACTGACCTGACTAGCAGAAATTCTCAACAGACCTCTCCTAATCCTCGAATCAACAGTCTCTGAAACCCTCATCTGAACCCTCATTAGCTCACCTACAGTCATAGGCTTCTTTGGCTTACCGCCCGAGCCCGGGCTACCATCCGCCCGCCTGGAGGTTGAATTGGAGGTGGATCGGAGTCCCAAAGCTTTCTTCATTTTAGAAGCAGCAGTGGAAGTGAGGGATCTCTGCAACGACGCCGATGAAGAGGAATTATTAGAGTTCAACGACTGGGACGGAGACTGAGATCCGTCCACAGGCGCGGTAATGTAGGTGAGAGCCTTTCCAGTTGAGGTACGACATGCCGCAACGAAGATCTCGTAGGCGGTTTCGCGGAGGTCGGCGGCGGTGAGTGTGGGAGTTAGGTTGTCGAACGGGGAGGGGAGCGGGGACAGTGCGGAGGTGGCGGTAGTGGCGATGCCGGAGAAGCGGGAGCTGGCGGAGGATATAATAGCTGCAGCGGCAGCTGAGGCAGTGGAAGAGAATGAATCTCTCCTGGAGTGCCCAATCGTCCGATCTCTGAAGAGAGACGCCATTATGAGAGAGGAAGGAAGAGGAGGACTTCTTCTTACTGGTTCTGTGCGGATTAATTAACTAGGAAAGGGGAAAGCGTATCTCCTTCTGCAATTTCTATTTTGTGTTCCATTATCTTACTTTTTCCAGCAAATTCTAAATTTCAACGTAAACAGTATTTAAATTTTTTAGGGTCCCATGCGGATGAATGATACGAGTATATCTGGTCTTCGTTGTCCAATTTTAGATTCCAGTTCAGTATAGATTTTCTTTAAGAGTACACCAGCTCTGTGCACTAATCATTCTCCATAAATAACTTTGGATGGTGGAATATATTCCAAAAAGTATTATCCAAATATTTTGTATTTCCCGTTTTTGATGATTCAGATGTCCGTACTTGCGCTTCTCTAATTCTGAAGTCTATGAACTACATTTCAAAGTCCTTAGACAGTTAAATCTGAATCTAATCATAGTCAGTCTCGTTGGTACTGGCTCCACAAAGCGAATCGAGTAGGACTTCCAAAGTCTGACAACCCGCAAAACCTAGTTACATCCAGGGGCCTCCTACCACAAATCTGCAAAAATGCATTATCATCATCTCCCTTCTTGATTGAATATATTGCAAAAGTATTATCCAAATATTTTGTATTTCCCGTTTTGGCCATTTCAAGCTAAAATTGTATTGGCTTTTGAATAGAAATATTTGTCATGACTGGCGTACGTAAAAAGTTGCAAGTATTTCGCATCGTGAATGGAAAATGACATTTCTAAATGTTATGAAGTACATTAGGAGCCCATTTGGTGACCCCTTATTTTGGTTTATCCGGTTTATCATTCAATTTTTCACCAAACACGTAACGTTTGATTTAGCGCGATGAATTGTTAATAAGCAGAAAAAGGAAGGTTGAAGTTATTTTTCTGGCTGTATTGACTGAAGTTAATGTAGAGGATCATTTTAGCTATTTTTTCATATATTTTTTTATTTTATTTATTGATAACAAATATTTTAAATATAATTTTTTCATGAATCAGCCGATACAGCCACTTCCGCCAGAACTTCATAAATTTCAACAGAATCAGCCAATTCAGCCGATTTTAGTGTTACCAAACGGACTCTAGATTTTCATTTGTCATTTGTGCAATGTATGACCACAAAAAGCCTAAATGTTTATCCTATTAGTTTTTTAGTATGATTTTGATTTGTAATTTAGAAAGAACAGTTTAGATATTGAGAAATCAAAAAGTAATACACTCTGTAATAATATAGTTCACAACGTAAATTTGAAAAATGAAACAGCATTCCTGGAGAGCAAAAGTATACTACTCTCTCCGTCCCGCTAACAATGTGACAGGAGGGAGTGACACGCAAATTAATAAAAAGTGGTTTATGTGGTTGATATTGAATTGATAAAGTAAAAATAAAGTAAGATTGATTTTGAGTCACACAAATTAAATTTTACCAAATTTGGTATAAAAAAACTTAGTGGGATGAACCGATAAGCTAAAGGAGACAATCATAGCAGGACAGAGGTAGTACTGTCATAATATTGGTTGTGTGGTCAATTTTATTTATTAATAACCATATATCAATATACTCAGGCTTCTACAATTTAGAACTCTTGATTTTGCAACGTGCAGCGGAGCTTAAATGATTATAGAAAGATTTCTCTAATTATAAATAATTGATACACATGTGACAAATACCAGTTTTATATGCTTAATATAATATACATATTTTATTTATTCTAGAATTTCTAACTTCTAATTTTCCTCAAACTCCTATATTTGTTCTTGTTTAATTTTTTCTCATACGAATATGAATTCGAAACGAATATTAATTTCAATTTGTATTTGTTTAGCAATATGAATAGTTAAAGAATCATATACGAATATCGATTCGATTTGATCATAAGTTAAATATTAGTCAAATATCACTTTAAAACAATTTTTCCTATATTTCTTAAGTTATAAATGCATGCTATCACTTAATATGTGTTTTAGAATTTAATTTGTAACATTCCATTTTTCTTTGAAATTTAATGGATCGAAGCGTTTTTAGTTTGTGCACAACTAGATTTTCACACGCGCGATGCGCGGTACATAAATAAAATAATAATATTAAGCAATAATAGTTAATGTCTAAATGACATGACAAAGTATATATGTAATACACAAAAACAATTGTAATTAAGATAAATATATATACGACTCGTAATTGGTACGAATACTATTTTGGGAGAATAAGGATTAAGAAACATTATAATAGGAAATCCATACTCTACACGTTTCTAAATACTTCTTTGTAGACAACATTGGTAGTACGGTCTAGTTTTTCTCCATTTTCACCGCGTATGAGTATCTTCAAACCCTTGCGATTTGTCACTCTGGATGCTGCAACATATAGTTGGCCATGTGTAAAGACAGACTTTTTCAATATAAGGCCAACATGCTTCAACGATTGACCTTGACTTTTATTTATTGTCATCGCATAAGAGGTCATCACAGGAAATTGTCTTCTTTGAAACTTGAAGGTATTCTGGAATCTGATGGAGTCAAACCTAACCTTGGAATGACAACTTCAAGTCCTGCGTATTTCCCCCCTAGAATTTTTGCTCCAAGAATGTGATTCCATAGCCGTGTAATAATCAACCTTGTTCCATTACAAAGGCCCATAGAAGGATCAATATTCCTGAGAAGCATTACTGGAGTACCCACTTTAAGGATTAACTCGTGGTTTGGAACTCCTGATGCACGAATTTTATTGAGGAATTCAGGAGTGTGTAAGTCAGCCAAGAAATCAGAATTTGAGTCTGACTTGCAGATGCTATCAGAACTCAAATATATCCTGGACTCTTCTTGAACATTGAGAGATGTCATGTATTCATTGATTTGATCCACAACATCCAGAGTTGGAGCTAGAATTGCACGCTCTAGCAAGTAGGACGAATCATTGGCAATATTCTGAAAGTTAGGATATGTGCTTTCCACAATAGTGGCAATCGGATCCTCTCCACACTCTAATAGAATGTCACTTGGAATTCTGACATCAGCAAATCCATTATTGACTTCGCCCGCGATACCATCTCCTAGATCTGCAATCCACTTCGCGAACTCTACCAAATCTTCGTATTCACGATCATCACTAAGTGATTGGAGCCGCATGTTCTTCGTCAAATGCAACACAATGCACTCATGCCAAATATATGAAGAATTAATTGTGGCATTCACTATGTCTTGTCTGGTACCCTTTGTAATGACGGGTAGAATTTGCCTAAAGTCTCCCCCGAACACCACCGTTTTCCCTCCAAATGGTTTATCTCTATTATATGAATTTGTAAATCTGAGGATGTCTCTCAAACTCCTGTCCAACGCTTCAAAACAATACTTGTGCATCATTGGTGCCTCGTCCTATATAATGAGTTTGCACCGAATTATCAACTGTGCTAATGGACTCCCTTGTTTGATGTTGCATGTGGAGTTCTCAGTCGGATTGATTGGTATCGCAAACCGTGAATGAGCAGTCCTCCCACCGGGTAACAGTAAAGCTGCAATGCCACTGGATGCAACATTTAGAACAATTTCCCCTTTGACCTCAAAGCAGCAGACAATGTTTTCCAAACAAAGGTTTTTCCTGTACCTCCATAACCATATACAAAGAAAACCCCGCCTTTATTTTCATGAACCGATTCCATAATCTTTGTGTACACGTGGCGTTGCTGATCATTAAGACTATCAATGCATTTCTCATGCTCTTGACATAACGCTGCACGATCATATTGCAATTCGTCAAATATAAGCCTATTCTGAGTCATGGATGATTGACTCATGTCAGGGAATGACATTGATGGATAGTTCTTTAAGCTCCTGCCATTTCTTTTCAACATTAGCTCTATTTCAATCAGTGCATAATTTTTAATCTCAGCCTCTGTCAACGTTAAATCTAAAACAAAGAATTCAAAACCACCATTAGCATAACAAAGATATGTATATTATTATTTAAAAGATTAAATATCATGAAAAGCGTAGTAGTATTTGTTTGTACCATGATGGAGTAAAACTGTTCTCTGCCTGTGTAAAATGTCATCGGACATGAATGACCAACATTTTCCCCAAACGTACTCTGGTCTACTCATCGTATCTGCGATCAATAATATGACAAACAACTTTCTGAGCACCCATGATGAAACCCAAAAACTCCCCTCTGAAATTCCTTCAACATATTCTTTGTCATCATCTAACAATCCCATTGAGTAACATGCATCACGATATGTCTCATAACAAATCCCATCCACAGTTCTTAGATCATCGTAAGATATAAGCCCACGCTTCAAATTTAGGACACAACGTAAATAATAAGATTCTCCTGAACTTGGAGGGACATAAGTTAGTCGACCTATAGCAAAACCCTTTTTCCGAGGTACAAATTCTCTTGTTGCAGCCTTCCAAACAAACTTTTGAGGAAATTCAGCATAAGTTAAATTCGTTGCCTCATTTGGGTATTGCTGATTCGCCCTCATCCATGCCAAAAACATACTCTCCTTTACAGATTCATGTAACACAACATCAGTTACTGATGCATTATCTTCAAAGTAAACATATTGCTCGTCTGGAAAGTGAAAGCTCAATCGTTCAACAGATGGATTCTTATACTGAATCTCGAACCCAAGTATTCTCCACATTGCTTCACATGGAGAAATATACCTACAATCATAGTAGAGTTTTATTTCATCCACGGGTTTCTCATTGTCATCTGCATTTGAAGTTTCATAAAATCCAGCTGTCACACGATCATTTCCTTTGTTGACGTATTTGAACAAATATTTGATTGACCGGCCTTGATTACACCACTCAACATTAAGATGAGCCCCGTACTTCAAGAGTAAATACCTGTTATGGGGAACAACATATCTGTTGTCAAGTTGTGTTACACCTTTCACAACACTTCTTCCATCATTGCGCCTTCTATACCTTGGATAACCTTCATCGTCAAGGGTTGTCTGTTCATTGAAATTCTTGGGGAAGTGCTTTGAACACTTAGATTGTACCATGCATGGAGCACTTTTTGCTTCATTTCCACACGGCCCATGCATCATATGCGTGCGTACTGCATTGAAATATTCAGGATCATTTGACTCATCAGGTATTTCTGCAGAAATGATGCCATCAATGTCCGCCGGAGTGGGTAACTTGTTTGCACTTCCCATGAATAACAAAATATGAGCGTGGGGAAGGCCACACTTTTGAAATTCCACCG